TCAATGTAAAGAAAACAAAAATCCTCACAATTGGACCTATAAATAATTTTATGCTATATGGAGAAAAGACTGAATTTGCAAAGACTTCATTTTACTTGAATCCACAATTAATGTTCATGGAAACAGTCAAGGGATCAAACGATGTATTGCATTAGATAAATCTGCTTCACAAGACCTTTTGAAATTGTTAAAAAGCCAAGATGTCACTTTGAAGACTAAAGTGCGCCTGAGCAAGCCATGATACTTTTAGTCCCCTCACATGCGTGTGAAAATTGGACAATCAATAAGGAAGCCTATAGAAGTATTCATGTATTTGAAATATGGTATTGGAGAAGAATATTGAGAGTACCAGGGACTGCCAGAGAACAAACAAATCTGTGTTGGAAGAAGGATATCCAGAATGCTCCTTAGGGAAGATGGCAAGACTTTGTGTCTCATACTTGGGACATGTTGTCAGGAGAGACCAGTCCCTGGAGGTAGTGTAAAAGAGGAAGATCCCCAAGGAGTAGACTGACACAGTGGCAGCAAGAATGGACTCAAACATAACAATATTTGTGAGGCTGTGCACAGGGTCACTGTGAGTCGCAGTCCACTCGATGGCAGTTGCCTCAACAACAACAAGGAAGGTACCATGCGGTGAGTTAGGAGGTCAAGCAGAACTAAACATGATACTAGGCCGATTAACAGGGATGTCCCATCAATCATGATCCAAACCTCCAAACAATGGAGCCAAATCCCATGAGGTATTTGATTCGACATGAACAGCCTTGGGAGAGACTCTTTTGTGTTTTGTTTTGTTTTTGCCAGTGTCTTATCGACTCGATGGCACTTAACAACAACAACAATATCACACTAAGTTTCAGGTCATTCAGCTTTTTACAGGTGTGCAAATAACTGACATCCATTACATTGATCTCCTTACCACCCCTGGTAACCACTAAGAAACTTGTCTGTCTCCTCTTACCTTTTCTTGTCTTTTTATATAAGTGAGATCATGTATCTTTCCTTTTGTGATTGACTAATTTTACCTTTTCTTGTCTTTTTATATAAGTGAGATCATATGTCTGTCCTTTTGTGATTGACTAATTTGACCCAGTATAATGGCTTCCAGCTCCATCCACACTGTAGCATGTATCAAGACCTCATTTCTCCTACTGACTGAGTTGGATTTCAATATATGTACGTACATTTTGCTTTCCCACCCACATGTTGATGGGCCTTTTGGCTGTTTCCCCTTTATTGGCAATTGTGACCAGTGCTGCAGTGAACACGGGTGTAGAAACATCTGTTTGAACTGTTTTCAAGTCTTTTGGATACACACCTGGGAGTGGAAATGCTGGGTCATGTGGCAGTTCTAGTTCAGTTTTTAAAGAGTACCTCTCTTTTCTTTTTTTTTTTTTTTTTTTTGAGAGAGAGTAAATTTTGATTTAAATGTTTTGGCCCGCTGTGAATGTTTTCTTCTTTTAATAAACGAGTTTACCCCACTTTTAATTATTACTCTTATAGATAATTTAGCATCACTTTTGTTGTCTTATATTTTCTGCCTTTAATGTTTCCTGGCCATTCCATTTGTTGCCTGTCTTTTCCTATTTAGTCGAGGTTTTCTTGTATTCCTCTGTTCAAATGGAGCCAATTTTGATCATTTATAAAACACAATTTTAGATATTCATATAGTGGACTATGACACAGTCATTAAATGCTAGGAGTCTGGGTGTGGCACTGTAGGATAAGCACTGCGCTGTTAACCATAAGCTTGCTGGTTCACACCCACCAGCCACACCTCAGAAACCTGCTATGAGTTGGAACAGACTCCAGGGCACTTAACAACAAGTAGATTGCAACACCAAGTTTCACTGAACAACATAAAAGAAAAAATGAGATGTCATAGGCATGAAAGAATGTTCTTGGCTTTTACAATAACTGTTTTCGACTATTTATAGATTACCAAATTTGCAATGATTTCAAGTTTTGTAACATATCTCTTTTGGCATTCCATTTTACAAATGAGATCAACCACACCCAGGTTGTGTCCTTGAAAACTAGGAACTAAAGGACAGGCAAAGCTCTCCCGACTTCAATTTTAAACCCTTCAGTCACCAAAGATTAGCAAATGCCACAACATAGCAACCTGCAGTGGGTTTTGTCTTCTACTGAGCCTAGTCCCACCCCACCCAGCCCCACCCAAGATCTTCCTCACCTAGTCATGGCCTAGCACATCCTGAGGGAGAAGGACGGGTACCTTTGTGCAGAAGAACACTGTCATGAAAGAAACAGCAGTGAAGATGGAAATGAAGAACATGATGAACCAAGCAACCCAGTGCAGCCGTCTGCGCAGCCCCATCATACTCATGTACTCCTAGAGGAAGCAAGAGAAGCATGCATGATACTGGCCAGTGGCCCAGCAGACTGGGTAAGGGGGCGTGTGTGCACCCGGGACAGGTGTCTAGAGGAGAGCGTTGGAGGCTAAATGGAAAGAAGTACAATCAGTGAGCGGCATTTACCTGGCTTAGGTGTGGTCACGACAGGCCCTGTCTTCACAGTAGCCTTCTGAAATGGACCGAACCCCTGCTCTAAGCGCAGGGCCCCTGTGGCCCTCAAAAGAAATCTAACCTCCTTGACATGCTCTGGTCACACAGACCTTCCTGCAATTTGCTGAATGAATCATGGTCTCTTTTTATTTTTCACATACATTGTTCTCCTCTTTTCTTGTTTTTCTCTCACCTTCTCTTTACCTAGTGAAATCCTATTTGACTTAAAAAAAAAAAAACAACAGTTCAGGAGCAGCCTGCTCTGAGACTTTCTCTGTTTAGCTTTGCCCGCCGTCCACCCAGCCATCAGACCGTGCGCCCACTCCCCTAGCCCTTCCGATTCTGTTGTTATACTTGGTTTTATGGCTGTGAAGCACCAGAGGGGCAGGGCGGAGTCATACCTGTGTCCTAGTACAAGTGCCTGGGAAACAGAAGTCACTCAATCAACGTTTGGTCAGTGCCAGCTGCCACACAGGAAAAGGGTACAACGTAAGAGTCACGCCCTGGTGCTGGAGGTGCAGAGAGGATCCCAATGCTGTCTACACCACACCAAGCATACCGGAGGAGCACAGTGGCCCCAACAATGTGTTCAGACACAGGAATGATGGTGAGGGTAGTGCAGGACTGGGCAGTGCTCCAATCTGCTGTACGAAGGGTCACTATGAGACAGAATCGAGTCAAAGCATCTAACAACAGTACACAAGTAGCTTTTTGTCCTTTAAGATCGGAGCTGGCAGTAGGTTAATTAACCAAAAAAACATGTTGGCTAAAGCAGGCAATGGCAAAAATGACATATTCATACCTTAAGCTTTGTACTTTTACTTATATGAGTGTACAGTCGTGTGTCAGTAGCTCAGTGTCAGAACACAGAGTCTGGACTGTGCACATAGCACCAACTGGGGTGCACAACCTACGATTACAGACTTCAAAGATGATCGAGAATGTAAACACAGGAGTGAAGCACCGCAGTGTGGACTCAGCCCAGGTTTTTACAATTTTCCTCCCACATTTTATATCTGCCTTACTGAATCTTTCCAAAGTGGTCAGCAAAACCCCCGAAGACAGCACCAGTCCACTCCATCCAGGTACACAGCATTTTTTTTTTGCTGAGACATGCAGAGTTTTTATTGCTCTTGTTAACTTGCTAATACTGAATATTTAGCTGGAGAACAGAGTTTGCAAGCAGGGTTATTATTAGTGGATTTGGGTAGGTGGGCACATCGAGGACACAGTAGGCGGCTCAGTACAGAATGTCTAACTGTCTCAAAAAGCCAACTTGGGGTACAATAGCCTTTGACCACTGCCATTTTATGCAGGTGTCTGCATCTGGGATTGTGGTTACACATTGGTGTCAATCAAGGATCTCAAATAACTTTTTTTTTTTTTTTGGATTGGCCGATTCAGTTATCACAAAAGGTCAGGTAGCAGGGCCTCATGCCTCCCCCTCCCCACCACACACAACAGAATAGTCTTCTTATTAGAAGTTCCTAAGGATGGTGCAATTCCAGCCTGCAAATTGTGATCGGACATAGCCGGGTGAGACAGCGTAGCCACCATCTAGAAATAATGGTCTCCATCGCTGTTGCTCCTTGCAGCCTGCCGGTCCTCTTCACCGCCCTCTCCGTTAAACCCATTAACATGCACAAGCGTTGGCTTGAGGAGACTTAGGGACGAGCCTTGGGGAAAGGAGACGGGCCTGTGTGCTAGACAGAAGCCTGCCAGCCGCAATGGCCGGGAGCTCTCTGCAGTCAGCTGTACAGAAGAGACGGAGGTCCAGTCCACTGAGAGATCTGATTACAAGGACATCAGGTGAATTTTAGCCACCTGGTAATAAAGGCAGGGGAAACTTACTCTGGGAGGATGGGCTAATGGCTGGATGGACTTTGGGAAGACTTCTAGAAGGGGGTGAATGCAGTACAAACTCAGAAGTTGAGGGAATTCCTACAGAGAGAGCAACCGTGGAGCTAGCACTTATTTGGGGTCCAGGAGAGAGCCCTATTCACCTACAGCAAAGGACCTGTGACAGCAGTGGCAGGGGGCCCAGGCAAGTCCTCAGTCCATCTACATGGTCAGCACCCAGCCCAAACCCGGCGCTGTGTAGGCCACTCCAACTGAGACCGACCCTTTAGGCCCGACTAGAAGTAGAGCTCTGATAGCACAGTGGTTACGAGTTAGGCTGCTCACCTCAAGTTCAATAGTTCAAAACTACCAGCTGTCCCGTGAGAGAAAGATGAGGCTTTTTGCAGACTGGGAAACCCTATACAGGGTTGCTATGAGTTGGAACTGACTCCTTGGCACACCATTACCACCACCAGAACCACATGGGCTTTCCAAGTCTGCCATCTTCATGAACGCAGACTGCCTCATCCTTCTCCCACAGAGCGAACTGGGGACCTTGGGCCAGCAGGTGAGGGCTTCACCTGTGCACGATCTGGGATTCTTCTGCACTCATCTCAGGCAAGAAAGTGACACTCACTGCGTCACACCTCCCATGGTCCCAGGGTGAGCTCTGTCTAGTAGGGTACCCGCCCTCTTAGAGTAATTCACAATTCCTCCTGCTTTTTTCCTTTTTGTAAGAAACGTAATTCTTATATTTATTATGTACCTTTATATATGGAGCTCTGGTAGTGTAGTGGTTACGAATCGGGCTGCGAACCACAAGGTCAGTAGTTTGAAACTACCAGAGGGAGAAAGATAAGACTTTCTGCTCCCGTAAAGATTTACAGCCTCGGAAACCCTGTATAGGGTCACTATGGGTCGGAACCGACTCGACGGCACTTAACAACAACAACATATTTATATATGGTGCATTTCTATAAGGTGAAAATGAATAAAAGTTAGGAATTGAGATTTTATAATATAAAGGTGAGTTTAATTTAATTAAATTGTGTTTGCATATACAAAGGCTTAGAAATTTTAAATTAACTATTTTTACCGACTGGACATTAGTTTAGCAATTTTTAAACACTTGAAATACTATCAAGAGAATCACGGTTATTCCTTCTCGAAGAGAACCCACCTGCTCCTAAGTCTTCACCAAACAAGAGCCGAGAGGTTTGAGTTCAAGGGCCCTTCTCAAGAGAATGGAGTGTGATAGCTAAGGTTTGGTGTGCACTTGGCTGAATTCTCAGTGCATTAGCACTTTAAGAAATAATAATTTCCCATGATGACAGCTCATAGAATGTGATCACTTCCTCCATGATGTGAGCTGAGGGGAACAGCCGTAGCTGATATAATTATCCTGTATTTTATAAATCTTTCTTCTATGATGCTAATGAGGCAAGATGCAATCTATATGTTAGGTTGCATCTGGAGTTGATTTCTTTTGAGATATGCAAGAGATTAAACAGGCCAACAGAGCTCAGAGGGACCTACTGCCACCAAGAAAGAGCCAGGAGTGGAGTGTGTCCTTTAGACCAGAGTCCCTGCACTGTGAGCTCCTAGATCCAGGGAAAAGTGATGCTAAGATATATGGAGATCACCAAGGAATGCTGGGCCACAGATGCTGAAAGGAGACAAGGAGCTTTCCCCAGAGCCATCTCTGTCTGTTAAAGCTGTCACCGGCATGTGGTACTTCAGTCCCAAAGATCCCTCTCAGGCCCCAGAGCTCAGAGGTCCTTTACAGCCCCCAGGGGATTGTGTCGTCCAGATCTATGCAGCAGAAACAGAGCATTTCATCACAGAAGCTCTACTTGGAGAAGCCAAAGCTGAATTACTGGAGAACTGCTGTACTTTGCTGATGAGAGAAATACATTCTTTATGAGGAAATGAGAGTGTGTTTGGCTGGTTACGCTGTAGACATGAGGACACTGTCCATGCCGCAGCATCCCCCTGCTCTGGAAGAATTCCAGCAGTTGTTGCGTGGAGAGCTGCGGCTCAGCCAGCGTTCATAAGGTGGCTCTATGTTACAGACTGCAATGGTTCAAGGCTGATGTGCCTAGGTGGGAGAGCCTGGTGGTGCGCATGGTTACACATGCTTGGCCACGGAGCACTCCCATACAGAATAGCCTGACCATCTACTTCTGAAAAATCAACTCTGAAAACTCCTATAGAACACGGTTCTCCTCTGACCCACATGGGGTCACTAGGAGTTTGAATCGACTTGATGCTAACTGGCTTGGTTTGGGGTTGGTTGTTTACAAGAAGCCTAATTACACATGTGTGCACCTGGGCACTACAGGAACCTCGGGCAAGCAGCCATCTAGCTACTGCCAGTCCGGGACCCAAAGGGATGAGAAGGGCCCACTAGGAGAAAGGGTTATGTAGAACAAAACATCGTAAAAGAAGAGTGATCACTTGTTTAGGGACCAACCAAGCGCCGAGTGATTTGTTAGGAGACAGCTAGGAGAGTGGTGCTGCCCTACAAAGCCACCTCCAAGGCTGAGAATGAGGTGCAGAGGGCACAGGAGGCCTGGAGGGGTAAAACAAGCTGGTATAAAGATGCAGGGATAAAATTATGTTCCCTCAAAATATCTTTTCAATCCAGCCATTCAAACCCACCAACCGCTCCTCATAACTCATATACAGGGTCGCTATGTTGTTGTTAAGTGCCGTCCAGTAGGTTTGGATTCATAGCGACACTGCATAGGGTTTCTGAGGAGCAGTTGATGGTTTGAACTGCCAACCTTATGGTTTTCAGTCCAGTGCTGATTCTACAGCACCACACTGGGAGGATTACTATAGAGTGTGTCTTAGATTAACCTCTTTTGCGATATAAAAGAGATCAAGTAGGCAAGAAAGCAAACGGAGATGGAGAAGGAGAGATCCCAGAAACGGAAGCTCAGAAGAGACCAGGCCCTTTCCTCCACAGAAGACAGAGGGAGTGCAAGTCGCCCACTTGTGGCATCTGAGACAGTAGTACTAGGGAGCTGACACACAGGGTGACTCGGGTTATGTCTGCACAGCACACACTCTCGGCTATGAAACTGACCACCAACAGCAGGCTGGCATCGTTTCGTTTTCATTGAATTGTGTTTCTTGAGCTAGTCCAGGTTTTTTGGTTTTCTTTTAAAAGGAGAGGTGATTTGTCAGGGTAACTGCTCCGTCTGTCTGGTCTTTAGCTATCTTGAGTAACACTTTTATATTTTCTGTTTCTTATTTGTTCTGTGATTTCCTTTGTTTTCTCTCGATATATGGGTTACAACTTCTTTGTATTTATTTTCTCTAGTGTTCCTACAGTTCTATGTACTACTTTTCAATTCTATTGAGGATAATTTTTCAGCCTCTTAGAAGCATTTTTAAATTTACTTGAATGTGATCGAGGCAGCACGTGAGCAGGCCAATGATCTGAAGGGCAAACGTTTGATGCCCAACATCTCCCTCAGAAAATTTGCTGCAGAAATAATTGAACAAGCAGGGAAGGTAAAACTATGCCACATATGAAAACTAAAAAGGGATTTCAAAGACACACTGGAAGTTTCCAGTTTATTGTTTTTTTTTCCCAAGAGGTCCAGAGCCTTAAGCAAGGATGGCAAGACATCATCTCCCGTACCGTGGACATGTCATCAAGAGGGACCAGTGCCTAGAGAAGGACAGGCTGCTTCGTAGAGGCTCAGCAAGCAGAGGAAGTGCCTCCCTGGGATGGGCTGACCCAGTAGCTACAACAGTGCGTATACACACAGAAAGGCTTGTGAAGATGGCAGAGGACTGTGTGGTGTCTACTTCTGCTGTACCCGGGGCACCTAACAACAACAGAGCCAGAGAGAAGGGCCTCCAGTTAGCTCACAGTGCCATGACCACCCCTGGCAAAGCTACCAGCCTTGGCCACTTGGCCTCACAGGACAGCAGTGGTGAGGCCCCTTCCTTCCAAGTGGAAATGCAAGAAACAAAGCAGAGGGGAGCAATCCATTCTTACATCCTCTGCATCGTCAACGAGGCCAATCAAAACTCTTGGAGTCCCTGGTAGCCTATTTTAATAACTGTTGTTGTGAAGTGCCGTTGAGTTGGTTCCAACTCATAGTGACTCACAGCTGATGGGTTTTAATGGCCGAACCTGTGGTTAGCAGTACAGTGCTTAGCCTACAATGCCACACCAGGACTCCATTCTAACACACAGCCATGAGAAACAACAAAAGGAGAAAAAAAAATCAAAAGTGAGAAGAGGACATTTTATAAAAGAGAGAGTGAGCCAAAATGTCATGAATCTAGAGGAGTAAGTGGAGCGTGAGCAGAGATGTGCAGAGCGCAGAGCAGAGCCGGTGGCTTCAGCAGCAGCTTGGCCAACAGCCGGGCCCCAGGCTCACTCTCCCAGGAGTGTGCTTCCCGTCTGCCTCTGGGCAAACACTGAGTTTGTTTTGGACGATATTTGCCTCTTAGACATTGGTGCAGTCCCTGGCTGGTTAATGAGATTGACTGCTAATCCAAAGGTTGGAAGGCAGAGTCCTAGGGAGAAAGACCCGGTGATGTACTTTGGAAAAACCAGTCATTGGAAACCCTGTGGATCACAGCTCCACTCCAAAACACAGGGGTTTGGCGTGCGTCAGCGTCAACTCATTGGCAACCAGGACTAATACACCCACTCCCGTTATCAACATGGCGAGGTTCCAAAGGTCAGTTCATTATCCAGAAATTGGTGTTATGGGAAAATGGTGGATGACCACATCAGATGACTAAATGGATCATCACATCATTGCCAAATTCCATCATTACATCACTGCCAAACCACTGAGCATCATGGTTCAGCCAAGGTGACACCTAGCCTAACATCACAGCCAGTGTTCCTCTTGTCTCGCATCTCAATGTCTCTTACTGCCAGATGTACAAACAGTGGGACAGTAGATGCTTTTTACTCTATGGACGTAGATGTGACCTGTTCGATAAAGAGATACTCTATAGTTGAGAAGTAGGTGTTTATGTTTATTTGTCAGTAATTGTTGTTGTTAAATGCTATCAAGTTGGTACCAACTCATAGTGAACTTATGCACAACAGAAGGAAACACTGCCTGCTCCTGGGCCCACCTCACAATCAATCATTGCTACATTGCTGACGCCGCTGGGCCAATCCATCTTCTTGGGGTTTTCGTCCTTTTCAGTCAGTGCACAGTACATATTCTGAACACCTACACGGAGCTCTGGTAGCGTAGTGGTTACGAATCGGGCTGCGAACCTTAAGGTCAGCGGTTCGAAACTACCAGCTGCTCCGCGGGAGAAAGATGAGGCTTTCTACTCCTGTAAAGATTTACACCCTCGGAAACCCTGTACAGGGTCGCTATGGGTCGGAACCGACTCAATGGCACATAACAACAACAACAACTGTTCCAAGCAGATTAAAATTACCAAACAATTCCCAGGTTCCTACTCACCTGGCCAGCTGCTCTGACACCTGAGTAGCCTCAACCCTGCCGGGGCCTCCTTCCCACTCTGAGCATTTCTCATTAGCAACCTCCAAACCTTCCTGCCCAGGAGAGACGGCCTTCGGGAGGAGCTAGGATTACCTTCAGCTTCCTCTCTTTCTCCAGGGAGATGGAGTTGATGATGGTGAGTTCAATGCAGATAAAGCTGAGCATGAGGAGTGGTGGGAACTCGTTCTGCAGGACCAGGAAGAAGTTGTCCTGGATGTAAGACCCATGGGGGAACCTTTTGATGAGCACACTGACTTTTGAAAACATGTTGGTCATCGCATCTTTAGCGTGGTGCCACATGATGGCTTTATCCAATGCATGCTGTATGGCTAGGAAGCCTTCTTTGTGGTATCCTACAGGAGAAAACAGTGGGTGACAAGCCTCAGAGATCAGGGAACACGGAGATGCAAACTAGAAAGAGGGTCACTATGATCAACTCAGTGGTAATGGGTTTGGTGTTCTCTGGAACTTCTTGGGAAGAACTTCATCTTTAAAGTAGGAACAATGACCTTTGGTGGAAATATGAGTACTTGCTGTTGTTGTTAGGTGCCACTGAGTCGGTACCGACTCATAGTGACCCTAAGCACAGCAGAATGAGACACAGCCTGATCCTGGGCCAACTACTGTTGCCACG